TTATTTCTGTCTCTTTACTGGTTTATAATAATCTTAAAAACCCCATCACACCCATAAGCCACCACAGGTGAGAAGGTGAGAGATGGAAAATGAATGCTACAGTATGTGGATAGAGTGGGGAATCCGGGTTTTCCCTAGGGGTGGCACAGGATGGAGGCAAGGAATATAGACAGGAGGCCCTGGCTTAGACCCTTATTGCTGGTTGAGGGTTGGCTGGCAGAGGGGCAGGGGACTCAGGTTGAACCAGGAAACATCTCACACCAGAGGTGAGGGCAGTTGAAGGAAGCGCACAATACATTTTCCACACAGACTAGGGGTGGGAGTGAGCTTCGAAGACTTGCACCCCTACATATTTGTAGTACTTGCAGTTGAATCCAAGGCCTCATACATGCTAGGCAAGCAGCTTCTGTGAATAGTCTTGTACAAGGCTGGGTGGATATACTCTGTTTTGGGGGGATTACCTTGAAGTGGAGTTGCTGGGTCATAGACCAGCCCATATTTAGCTTTATAGGAAACTGTCAAATTGTTTTCTATACTAAGTGTATTCCTTTACATTTTTACAATCCTTGTTTGAGTTCTCGTTGCTACTCATCCATTACAGTGGCTAAAATGAGAAATAATAATACCAATAGTGATGAGCTTTTAGGTAAATGGGATGACTTAAAATGCTTTCTCTGCACTGTGGAACGGAAGAAATTAACATTTGTTTGAGAATAACCACTTGGGGTTTTTTTATTTTCCTAAGGTTGCGTGAGTTAGGATTTAGGACCATCTGTATTAGGAGAAATCCTATCAGTAGATATGACTTGTCCCCAACCTGTTTTTTGTCTGTTTTTCAGGGAGAGTAACGGGTGTTGAATCCAGGGCCTTCTCACTGAGCTACACCCTCAGTCTCTTATTTCTTACTTTGAGGCAGGGTCTTGCTAAATCACTAAACTGCTCAGGCTGAGCTCCAACTTGCTATCCTCCTGCCTCAGCCTCCTAAAATGCTGGGGTTACACAGTGCACCACCACGCCATCCTCCCTCCCCCTTTCCCTTTACAGACTGTTCATTTTGGCCAAACAACCATCAAAGCAGGCAATAGATTTCAAGGGCAAAGATGTACATATCCTACAACACAAGTTGATCTAACTCATTGCAAGCAACAACCACTAGATAATTAGTTTTCTGTAAAACATCTTTTAGCCAGGGGTGGTGGCACACACCTGTACTCCCAGCACCCAGGAGACTGAAGCATGAGGATTGCCTTGAGTTTGAGGCTACCCTGCATTACTGTGAGACCCTGTCTCAAAAGACAAAAAAAACCTTAAAATGTTAGTTCTTGATTTGGAAAAAATTTTAATCTGTTAGTGCAAAATAAATTGAAAGATTACACCCCAAATTAGTGTATTTGTGTCATTTTGCTATTGGTTATTGCTATTGACTATTGGTCATTTTGCTATTAATGACAATTTCAAGTCTGAACATTTTTAAAGAGGTCATTTTGGGGGGTCTAAATTTACCTACTTTTGCGTATTTCATCACTTTTTTTTTAAGACAGAGCCTCACTATAAACTTGCAATCCTCCTGCCTCAGCCTCCTGAGAGCTGGATTACAGGTGTGTGTCATCACACCCAATCACAATTAATGATACATAAAATCCACTAAAAGCAAGTAACTTCCAGGTGTGGTGGCGCACGCTTGTGATCCCAGCACTCAGGAGGCTAACGCAAGAGGATCGCTGCAAGTTCTAGGGCCAGCCTGGCCTACATGGTGAGTTCAAAGCCACCTGAGAATATACAGTGAGACTGTGTCTCAAATCCCCCTCCCCCCGCAAAAAAAAAAAGCCAGTGACTAAAAGCAAAGCTCCAGGGTTTGTTCAGCTTTTCCTTCAGTTTCATACATTTCTTAGAGCAGTGATTCTCAACTAAAGGTAGTTTTGTCTATCGGGATATTGCTGAAGAAATTTTTTGTTGTTGCACCCAAGGGTTTGTTACTGGCATCCAGTGAGTAGAGGCCAGGGCTGCTGCTGAGCATCCTACAATGTACAGGACGGCCCTGCACCTCAAGGAACTACCCAGCTCAGAATGTGACCTGTGCCTACCTCTCCCTGTTAGATGTTAGTGGCAGCCACAGCTGAGAGCTTCCAGTGTCTCCAGACAACCACGCGTCCTCCGGGGAGCAGAACCACCCTTGACCCCCACCACTCCTCTGCAGCTGCACTTTACAAACCTGTAGTCCCCAGCTCCCTGGAGCTATGTAAGTGAAAAGGAAGTAAAACTGACAACTGAGCTCCTTACTTACACTCGCCACACTCCCAGTGCTCACTAAGCTCACTAACCCAGTGTCTTGTGGCTGCTGCACTGTACAGGGCAGAGAGGACATTTTCCTCATTGTAGAAAATTCTAGAGCTGGGGTAGTGCACACCTCTGATCCCAGCACTTGAGAGGCTGAGGCAGGAGGATCGCTGTAAGTTTGAGGTCAGTCTGACCTACATAACCAAGCTCAAGGCCAGCCTGTACTACACAGCAAGAACCTGTCTCAAAAAAAAAAAAAAAATTCTGCCTGGGTCATTACAGCATTGGGTCAATACGGCATTTAAAAAAATATGCAGGCATCTTTTTCTTTATTTCCAAGTTTTGGATTTAAAAAATTTTTTTGTACTGTGAATTAAACCTAGGGCCTTTGCACTGAGCTACATCCCCAGGCCTTTAAAAAAAAAAAAAAAATGTTTTTGAGTCAAGCATGGCGATGAATACCTGTAATTCCAGTACTTAAAAGGCTGAGGCAGGAGTATCACCATTAATTAAAGGCCTGCCCGGGCTACATGGTGAGTTCAAGGCCAGCCTGAACTGCATAGCAAGGCCTTATCTCAGAAAACCAATTAACAAAAAAAAAAACAACTAATTTTTTTGGAGACAGATTCTCACCAAAGCACTGTATTGCCCAAACTGGGTTTAAATTTGTGATCCACCTGCCTCAGCTTTCCAGAGTGCTGGTATTACAGGCATGCGCCACTGTGCCCAGCTTGGATGTTTTTTTCTTAATGGAATACTGCTATAGTAATTTTGTTAAAGGCAGCACTGAGCTGCAGTACTAGAGACTGAAAACCTCATGGCAGCAGGGACTGGACCTTAGTTCTCTATTCCTCATCCCTGGTGCAGTGCCTGATACATGATAAATGCTCAATAATACATATGTGTTAAATGAATGAGGTTAGGGTGTGGAACTGAATGGGCAGCAGATCCCTTTGAACAGTGACTTGCTCGGGGTACTTGCCAGCAATTGCACTATGGCCACACCTACCTCAGCAAATTCTGAGGACCAGATGAAGTCATCAGCAAGACGGCCTGTCCCAGGCTCTGACATCTGTGCAGGAGGCACTCAACACACAACTTTCCTTCCAAAAAAAAAAAAATCTTTAAAAAAAATACAACGGTTCACAGCCCTTTGATACTTCTAGAACCCTTAAATCTTTATGACTAGAGAAAGCTTCCCTTGATCACACAGTGCATTAGCGGCAGATCTGGAACCAGGGACCCAGGGTTTCACTACCTTGCAGATGATTTCCAGCAAGGACATTCCTTGTTCATGGCTACCTGGTCACCGAGGCCAGCTGAGATAGAGGACAGTAACTGTGTAGAGGGCGCGGACACCCCAGAGATCGCAATTCAGCTGTCAGGTACTGCTAAGAGAAAGTTTGTCCGCGGCTCCACCTTGCAAAGAACTCCCAGGGAGGTAGGGACCACACACCTGCAGCCTCCCCGCCCCCCC